TTGGGAGATGTTCCCCTAAAATTTTTGTTTCCTTCCTTATATATGGTGAATAATCAACAACATCTTTTGGTTAAGGAGGTTATGGGTGCCCCTAATTGGGTTTTGTCCTTTAGAAGAAATCTAGATCAGTCTGACAAGGCTCAATTAGACGTTTTGAAAAGTTTGCTGCAGGATGTGAGGCTAGATGTTTTGCCTGACAGCTTAATTTGGCCTCATGAGAAGAATAAGAAGTTCACTACTAAATCTATGTATAGGTTGTTAAAGTTTGGGGGTGTTGTGGACAAAGAGATGAAAGAGATTTGGGGGTGCAAAGTTCCTTTGAAAGTCAAGCATTTCTTGTTTTTGGCTGGGAGAGGGAGAATACCTTGCGCTAAACTCTTAGTTCAGAGAAATTGGAAGGGGTACTAAATTTTGTAAAATATGCCTGGGAACTGAATCTACTAACCATGTTCTTTTTACTTGTCCTATTGCTTGCTTTGCTTGGTGCTCTGTAATGGAGGTAATTGGGGGGGGGGGGGGTGGGGTTAATTCCAACCAATTTTTGGGATGGTATAAGAGTTGTTAAGGATAAATTGGGGGTGAACTTAGGTCTTTTTCTTTGTGCTAGTCTGTGCTGGGGTTTGTGGTTGGTAAGAAATGACTTTGTTTCTGAGAATAAATTAGTGAAATCACCTTTGCAGGTAGTGTACAAGGCAATTTCCTTGATGCAGAGGGAAGGTGCTGCTGTCAAAGGAAAGAGATCGCGAAGCTCTGAACGCGCTGCTTGAGAAGCTGAAGGCTAAGCTGGAGTCTCTACGTCCAGTGAATGTGCTACCGGACAATATTAGTGTTTAAGCCAGTAATGTTGCTCTTGGGGTTGAGGTTTCCTAGTCGTTTGGATGTCCTTCTTGGCGGGGTTTGTAAGCCTTTTGGGGTTTTAGTTTTCTAGCGCGTGATGGGTACTGGCAGCCCCAGTTTTACTCTGTTTTTCCTTAAAGTTATTGTATTCAGACCTTGTTATGTCTGGCTTTCTCCCAAAAGCCGGGTAATCAAATTACCTGTTATCAAAAAAAAAGGAGGAAAAGAGCATGGTGTGAATAAGGGTGGGGAGGTCGGGGGTGGACAAAGGGGTAATTTGGTACGTAGAATTCATAGATACGGGTCTGGTTAGGAGTTGGGATGCCTTTTTTTTAAGATGGATCTGATTGTTGAAAAATAATGGACCCAAATGAAAACAGACAGTTAGATGTTTAGTTTTTTTTTCTTAAAATTTATAGTGATTTCTCTAATTTATTATAGTGCCAAGTAGCGATATAAGAGCATTTGTAGAAAATTTAATGGACATTTAGTATATGATAGATAGTTAGATAGATAGATTTGACTAATGGTTGACTAGCGACGATTCCACTATTATTACATATTTAATATTTCTACAGTAATTAAGTATAGTATATATGGACCTTGAATTATTTATTAAATTATAAATAAAATATTCGTTCAAATAAACTGAAAACTCATGGATTATGATCTCTTTCTAGCTATTGACTGGTTTTTATATTAACTAGCAAAAATGCCTGTGTTGCCACGGAAAGAAAAAACGAGAAAATTGAATTAAAATATATTAAATTCTAATTAAATGAAATACAAATTTTCTGGAATATTTGGGTATTTTTTAAGTAGGTAGGTATATAATTAAACTAATTTACAAGTAAAGTAAGTGTGAGAAACAAAATGATATGGTTGGATTTAATTTTTATTAAATTCTTCATATTAATTACACCTTTTGAAGTTTTATTGCAACTTATAGAGCTTAATTGCTAATTTTTATAATACAAACATCATTTCAGCATTTATTTAAATAAAAATCCTTCTTTCCTCTCTGAGCCATTTTCAGCCCATGTTCTTCAACCCGCAAGCGACAAAAGTCTAAATAATTTCCCCATACTCCTCTCACTTGCTGTGCGGCCCGTAACCACAAATGTGTTGGACCACCAGCTCGCGTGCGGCCCAAGTGGTCCGGTCCGGTGATGCAGGCCAGCCCAACGATCGATGGATCTGAGCCGTTCGTTTTGATGCACGGCTCAGATCGGTTCCAAATCAATCAAAACCCTAACCCTAACCCTCCCCATTCCCCGATCGGCTCGCCGTCCCCCATTCCCCCTCCCACCGCCGGCCGCCTCCCCCGCCCGACGCCGCCTCTCCCCCTCCCTCCCACCGCCGCCGGCTCTCCCCTCTACCTTCCAGCGGTGCCGCTTCCCCTCCCCTCCCCTCTCCCATCCGGAGGCGCCGCTCCCTCTCCCCCAATCCCTCCCGTCTCGCCGGCACGGCGCGGAGAAGGCGGGCGCGGCGGAGACGGCGGCGACAGCCGTCCCTTCCCCTCTCCCTCTACCTATCGACCTCGACGGCCGTCCATCCCTCTCGGCGATGGCGCCCTCTCCACCCTCAAGATCCGGCGGCGCCGTCCCAACGGCGGCGTCGACAGCGATGACGGTGTCGGTGGCATCCGCGGGTGGATCCGTCGGCCGTGGTGGCAACCGCGGGCGGATCTGGCAGCGGCGGCTCCCTCCACCGCCTCTTTTCTCAATCCCTCCGGTGGCGGTGGTGGCGTCGGCGACGGCCGCGGATGGATCTGGCGGCGGTGGCGACGACCAAGGGGATCTGACGAGCGCCCCGTGGACGGATCCGGTGGTGGCGACGGCGTTGGTGGCTTCCCGGTGATGTTTTTATTTTTCTTCCGGTTCTTTTTCTCAATCGCTTGATTCTCATCCTGTAATCAACATAATAATCGCTTTATTTGCCTTATGATGCACTCGGAAGATAGATAGACTGAATCTGACTTTTCTTTTTTTGTTTTCATGTTTTTTCACCCTTTTTCGTTATTACGAACGACGGAAACGTCTTTAATTTTTTTTACCTCGTCACATATAATCGGATCCGTGTTTATATTAATTTGTTAGTTAAAAAAAAGAGAGGAAGGAATTGAGCGGGAGAGAAGAGGAGAGGAGATTTAAAGGGGAAAGAGATTAGGAGCGTACATAATTATGGAGGAGGGGAATATACCGGAGGGTAAGGGGACTTTGTTTTATGTTTTCTTTAACATAGATCTAATTGGCTTGAGTCAAACAAGAACACTTATAATGGGATCGACTCCCGACTCCCGTGTTGCTCGCCCTAGGCGACACGGGAGGCAAACGGCCCTTGTGCGCGAGGGCTCCCAGGCTGCATCCGCTCGCGTCACTGATGCCGGCACCGGCGACGGCGGTGCCGGTGGCGGCATCTCCCTCCTTCTTTATCTCCCCTTCTTCCTCCTCTCTCTTCTCTCCCTCCCTCCTTTTCTCCAGATCTAGGGCTTCCGGTGCCAAGAACTACTCCCCACTCGGCGGCGGCCTCCTCATCTCGGGCATGCAGCGAGAGCTGCGCAGGGACGGCTGGATCGGGCTGGCGGTCTTCTCCTCCGGGCGGATCTGGGGTGTCGCCGGTCATCCAGCTCCGGCGGCCTGCCTCACCGCGTCCGGCGCTGGCCCTCCCATCCCGGGTTGGTGGCGGCGTTGCGGTGTTGGGCGGCAGTGGTGGTGTGAGGGGGACGGCCAGACCTGGCTCCTGTAGGTCTAGAACCCGGCGCGCCCTCAGTTGGGGTCGGGTGTGGCCGGGCCCCTAGTGGCAGCGGCGACGTCGGTTGCTCGACAGAGCTTGGGCGGCCTGTGTGGCCGCGCTGTGGCACCGTCAGTCCAGCTCTGCCACTCGGTGGAGTTCGGTTGTTGTGCAGGTGATGTGAATACTGCAGGTACCTTCGGTGTGCAGGTGACATTTGGTGGCTTCCGCTATGGTTGCTATGGTTGAAGGGGATTCCGAGGTGAAAGTCGTGCTCTGCTTGCTGGTGCTAGCAATTGCGACGCCCTCGGGTGTCGTTCACCTTCTTGAAGACATTGCTATTGGAGCCCTTGTTTAACTTCACTTCAAGGAAATTCTCCGGGTGAAAATCTTAGAGATTCGTTTGCATCGGACAATATCACCATTCTATCGGTGTAACTTTCTTGAAGGCTTCGTTTTAGGAGTTTTTTTCTTTATTGGACTGCTATTCTTAGATTTAGTATGTCGATGTCAGGGTTCAGTATGCTATTCTTAGGTTTTGCTGCTGCTTCCTTGTCAGTGAGAGGAGTGAGGACTAATTAAGTGCCTCTTTGATAAATATTTACACTTTATTTACTTTATTTATGTTTTGATCTCTATATTAATTTGTTGTTTTGTATATCCTAGCTGAATTCCTGGATAGAAATTTATACACAAGATAGTCTAGATTTCTAGGCATAACTGATTGCCACGCATCGAAATCAGTCATCCTCACCGTCAACGTTCGGCTATCCAAATCTGCTCACGTCTTCCTGCTGGGACACCCATACACGGCAACGGCGGTGCCACGGGCTTTCTTCAACGAGGTGGTCAGTCTCCATGACATTCCGATCTTCATCGTCAGCGATCGTGACCTGGTGTTCACCAGCTCTTTCTAGTAAGAGCTCTTTTGGCTGGCTGGCGTTAAACTTTAACCTCAGCTCGTGACAAGTGCTATACATACTAAAAATTTCTTACATGGGTTTTCTAAAAAAAATCTCAAATTAATATTTAATTAGTGTGGAAAATCAAGATTCAACTACAATGTGCCACATCAACATTTTCATGGTTTTATTTTGAACGTCTACCTTTTCCTGGATGAATTAATCAACAAACGACTGTGTAAAAAGGAGATTATGTGGCCCTAGTATCACAATATAAAGCCCTATGTATATTTAGTAGTGTTGTTACTTCCTCATGTGTTCAGATTTATCTTTAGAATTGGATTTTTTTTTTTGGGACGGAGAGAGTTGTACACAATACACACTATGTTTTGGATATCATTAGAACGAGACAACTGCAATCTTTGAACCGCCAGTCAATTGACGACGAAAAGTAATTCACCTAAAACACACTACTATTAAGTAAATTTACTTCTCTCTGAAAGGTACTGCTAACATACGGAATGGTACCTCACGTTCCATGGTGTATACTTTCAGAGAAGATCGTAGAGCAGGGACGATTCATGCCAAGAAGTCTAACCCATGATATATAGTAGCCGAAGATTCCTCCAGTCCCTAAGACAGCATGAGATAAATGTTAGTAGTCCACACCAACGCAACATTATATGAAAGAAATATTTCAAAAGATTGGCTAGCATTCTAACAATGGACTAAATAAACTTGACTATTAATTCTTCTTGCTGAACTGGAAGATATACAATGGCAGCTTAGACGCGGAACACATGCATGGTACCTTGTCTTTATACAAAACCAGATAACAGCAGAAACAACACCAAGATTAACCCAGGACAAGCAGTTCAGTTCAACTCCTGGGCACCATATACAACATGATGTTAGTCCTCCAATATCGTGGATCAAAGAAAATCAAATTAATGTTTGTCATACCTTCGTATTAGCAGCACGGATGCAGGGATAATTTTGAGATAACAGTTGATGCAGAACGCTGAGCTAACAATATGATGCGCCTCCAAATGAACTTGATCCCTTAGGCATTTGCTTGGTTATGTTACCTTCCTTTTTCTAAAGCAAAATTCAGATTCTTTGCTTATCCCTGGAGGTTATAGGCACGTAGTAGTATAATATACTCCCTCCGTCCCAAAATATAAGCATTTTTTAAACAGTGACAAGTCAAACTTTTAAAATTTTGACTATTAATAGCAAAACATTAAAAAAAGATTAATCATGTAAATTTTTACATTTGATGTTACTATATTTATCATTAAATTAATGAACTATCATAGTATGCGACTCTTTCTTTCTATTTAAGACATTTTACTTTTGTAGATATTATTGGTTTAGCATCTCGAAGACTGTCCAAATTTTAAAATATAAGAGGGAGGAAGTAAAGAAGTAGTAGCAGTTGGTCAGTTGGACTATTCTTTACCCATTTCCAAGATAAAGAGATATGCTGGTTGAATCATAATGAAGGGGCCAATTGTAGAAGACAGGATGATGTATCTGCGCTTCGGCTTTTGTGTGTGAGAATAAAAATTAGTAGAGTAGCCTTGTTTAGCAACAGCTTTAGAGCAGCCAACTACTAGCGCTAATTCATCTATAGCTAATCTAATAGCTCATTTATATAATAGTTACATTCTATACTATTAATATATGGTCACACCTGTCATACACACAATGCGTCTTGGAGTCTGTGCTATAGCTGGCTATAAATCTGTAGCCCACTGCTCTTCTCTCTATCTTCTTAAAATATATTTGCAGTTGGTTTATAGCCTACTGTTGTACCTACTCTTATATGGTACTATACATGGAGCAATTTCCACAAAGCAATGAACTTTAATAATTTTGGTAAAGCAGACTTCCACAGCATTCCAATACCAGATAGTTAGAACTAATTGACATTATAGACGGAATAATATGTTGCCACACACAAAATATCAATTCCTACTCTTTTTACGAAGATATTAAATCATAGCTTATGCCATCTGCCCACCTACGTTTCTACTAGATACTAAACTCCATTTCTGACAATGTAATCTCCATTACATGCATGAAACCTACCACCTCATTTAATTTTATTTTATAAGGGATTTTGCCTTATAACTGGATGGGAAAAAATATTTATATTTTAGGACGGATATGGTAATTAGTTAATTTGATATCTAATGAAACAGATGAAATTGGAAATGGAATAATCTTAGTATTTGATCCGCATAAATGAATGAATAGAAAGATCAAACAAGAGAACATAAAATGCTCACCGCGCGCAGTTGAGACACTATCATTCTGTAGGCTATACGTAGCACATAAATTTAAAGGTATCTATTCGTGTTAACTTCATAAGCATAAGACGTTATGCAAATAATAGAAATTTGAACTGTTTAATACTGAATATCAGTTTTATTATCTACTCAAAGCATTTTTTTGAGAGCATGCGTGGGTATGAACATATGACATGATAACTAGTTTTATACGATATGTGGCAGAATTAACCTTTGTTAGTAATGTGCCCGTGTGTTCCAAACGATTTACAATGAGTAAAATAAACATGATACCTTACGTCAGCTACACATGTACTCCGTAACTGCCGTTGTATCTTGTCTAACACAAATTTTCCTTCATCTCTATCATCCTCTCACCTCTGCATCTCCTTCCCTATATGTTTTTTTTTATGATTTCATTTGGACTGGGACTTAATTTTTGTGTTGGATTGGGATTTATTTTTTATGATTTTGTCATGATTTTGATTGAATTGGGATTTAGATCTTAGCGTGAAGCATTGGCTCAATTTGATCCAATGCATCCAGACGTTTTATTTTCATTCATAGAACCTCAAAGGTGCCAGTTTAGGAACCGATATCTTGAGTCTTCACTTTGGTGCCACCCGCAAGGTGATGGTTAGAAAATTCAACACCTATGTCAGGTTCCCAGCTAGCATCTATCGGAGTTTCTGTAGTAGTGTCTCCAGAAAATGTAGATGGATTATTCCTTAAGATCTTATGTAATCTTTATCAACACAAAAACACTGAGCCTACAACTTTCATAACAAGGCCGCAATCCACAATTGCGATTTCCTTCATCTCTACCGTCAGCAATAGGAACATGAGAGTATAGTAGGTGACCAATAATCTATCCGTAATTCAACATTTTCATCAAGCATCACTTTTAGGATATACATTCTCAAAAAAAAAAGGATATACGGCACCAGGAAAAAGTAAGAATGCCAAACATGGTATTATTTATCTAAAAACTATACAAGAGCGCGACATAAGTCTGTGACCAACTAAACTCACATGTCGCATAATTTTCAAGAACTTCATAAAAAACAGACGCTGAAATAAAACCTTGAAACTTCTCAGTCCGGTTTCCAGTAGTGAGATAAATCATGAAATCTTTGTTCGGATATATTACCATCATCAAGATAGGGCCAACTTCTGTATCACAACTATCTCAGCTGGAAGATCGTGTTCTAGGACTCGAGAAAATTACTGAATACTATGGAGCAGAGTCCTCAGGACCAAGAATCATCAATTATGATGCAAATGCTACAGCGCTGTCAGCCACATCGAGGATCCATCAAATCTAAAAAACGAAAAGCAAGCAAAGGAAATATGAGAGTAGCCAATTGGCCATACTCAATTGAAATTTATCTCAAAACTAGCAATCCAAACTTGAATATCATACAGCAATATTGTTCTATGGGAAACTGCAAATACTGGTAACGTAAATTGACGAGGTCCGCTCTATACCATGAATAACTTATCCGAGTTTTGTTGCCGCTAAACCCTCCATCAACTCCTTGACATTATCAACAAAACTAAGAAATGGACACTGGGACCAAATCAAGAGATTGAGTTTGACATTCCTCCATTCAGACTACAGCCTTATTGTGATCATCACTATTTGAAAAGTTCCTTTTTCGCTTTAATGAGCCTAATTATTCAGGCAAATGGTTATGACCAAATTTGCAAGTAACAAACACAAATGGAAGCAACTCTAGGAGCAAATGAAACTACATCATGCAAAGCAGAAACTGAGTTTTTCAGCTGGAGGAATATATGTCAATTTAAATAAACTGTAGAAATATATGTACAATACAACTAAGCCGATCAGCAGAACACTATGCTATTACCACCACCGCCACCACACCATCTACCTTCGAAGGATTCAATGAAAAGCATGATTTTATACATGAATTAGGAGCAGGGAACACTTTCCTGGTCGTTTTGCCATGTTAAGCAACTGATGCTCAAACTGCAAATGCATACAAGGACATAGCTACTATCTGATGATTAAATAAATATCTATATGTGAATCAGTCCTCAATTAACTGCTAAACACGATTTAAAGAACAGAGAGGAGTAATCATGACATGAATCGTAGAATGAAGTGTACAAGAACTAAGTTGCCGAAAGAATTACAACATTGAGCCAAGTTCATTATCCTGAAAGCTTAACCTTATTGCTGGTAAAAAGAAGCTAGTTGCAGAGAAGAGAGAAGAGGGCTACATATGGTCAAATCCATTGTGTAGGATCACATGCAGGCTGGGTAAGACACCACCATCTTCTCATACAGCATTCATTGAGCCCAGCAAAAGGCCTTTATCCTTAAAGGATGAAGACAGCAATGGCACACTGGAAGCCTTTGTGTTTGTCTGCTTGGCCTTGAGGAACAATGGTCGGTACATCACTGAACTCAATGTGGCTTGGGTAGCTGCAGACAAGCCCTAATCATGTGTTTGGTTTCGAGACTAGGTGGGATGGGATGAAACCATCCTTGATTTTGGGGTTGGAATGATCCCACTCACATGCTTGGTTTGTAGGATGGGACGATCCTAATTTTTTTGTTTGGTTGAAGGGATGAGGGAGAGATGTGAAAGTGCATCTAGGCCCCTAATGATTTTGGTGATTAATTACAATGCGATTAGAGAGGACTAACATTTTTCTTTAAGCAAATGTGAAGGTTGTTATGTCCTCAATGAGTTAGCGTAATGCGTATCCCGCCAAATACGTTGATGTGATGTGATGCGGCAAATGAGCAAATGGTATTTTGTACCTTTTCTTTTTCTTGAGTCAATAGGAATGCCACACTATTAAGAGGGATGATGCATTGATATATGAGGAGTGATCAAAGTGCTCAAAATCAATTTTTAAAAGTGTTTCTCCTCAGTTTGATGTGTTCTGGAAATTTTCGGAGTTTTCCGAAAGTCATTTTCGGACTTTCCGAAAATGCACAGAACCAATTTTCGCTTCTGGAAATTTTCGGATATGTCTGAAAGACATTTTTGGACTTTCCGAAAATGACTGCGAAGGCAAATATGGTTCTGTTTATTTTCGGACTTTTCCGAAATTGATTTTCGGAGTTTCCAAAAAACTTCAGCAAAGTCAAAATCGCTTCTGTGTATTTTCGAACTTGTCCGAAAGCTATTTTCGGACTTTTCCGAAAACATCCAGAACGATGTTTTTGCTTCTGGAAATTTTCGGACTTGTCCGAAAAGTTTTCGGAATGTCCGAAAAATCTTCAGTTGACTTTGTTGTTGGTGCTGAGCTGGAATTTTCGGACATGTCCGAAAATCTTTCGGAATATCCGAAAATCACAATTATTGTGCATAATGGGCAGAATTTGGGCTGTGGCTATAAATAGCCCCCTCCCCTCACTTGTGAGGGCTGCTGGTCACATTGGATATTCTTGTGCCCTTGGCTTGCTCTTGTTGAGATTCACTTTTGAGCCTTGCTTTCTTGTTTCCCATCTCACCCGTGTTCGATTCGGATTTGGTGTGTGTGAGAATTGTGGATTCAAGTTTGTGTGAGTGCTTGTTGTTGACTTCGTGAAGATTTGTGAGCACTTGCATCATCTCCGGGAATTCATTGCTTCATTTGTTACTCTTGGAGGTTGAGGACTCCTAGGCGGCTAGGTGTTGCTCCCGAGCCACCGATCTACTTGTGGTGGCCGGGAGAAGTTTGTGAAGGTTGGATCACACCTCCGAAAGGGAAGAGATACCCTTAGTGGAAGGAGGAGTGCTTAGTGCAACCTCTTGAGGAAAGGGTTAGCTAAGACCCGGCTCTTAGTGAGCTCCTCAACGGAGAGTAGAATCCCCTCACGGATTCGAACTTCGGGAACAACTTCGTGAGCTTCATCTTTAGTGACTTTACTTTCTCCCTCTCCACTAGCTTTGCTTGTTTGAGCCTCTATAGGTCTAGTTGCTGTTTGTGCTAGCATATTATTGTTGTAGGCAACTAGATCTAGGACTTACTTTGCTATTTGTGCTGACTCCGAAAATTTTCGGATATATCCGAAAATTTCGGAAATGTCCGAAAGTTACTGCTTCCGCTTTTAATTCAACCCCCCTTCTAGGCCTAATTGACACTTTCAATTGGTATCAGAGCCTAATCTCCTAATTAGGCTTAACCGCTTGGAGAGATCATGTCGGGCCAAGCGGGGGATGGGAATGATGGTGATAAGGGAGTTAAGATTCCTTATGACTATCCCCCTACATCTACATCTTATGTGAGTACATATAGCGGCAAAGCTCCGTACTTCAATGGTACAGACTATGCCGCTTGGAAGCATAAGATGAAGATGCATTTGAAGTCTATTAACCCATCTATTTGGAGAATAGTCGAAAAAGTCTATGTTTTGCAGAATCCCGAAGATCCCACCAAGGAGGACGACGAGAACGAGCACAAAAATGCTCAAGCCGCTAATGCAATACTTAGCGCCTTGAGTGGAAGTGAGTTCAACCGTGTAGATGGCATTGAGAGTGCCAAAATGATTTGGGACACGCTTCGGAACTTGCATGAAGGCACAGATAGTGTTCGTGAGTCCAAGGTGGAGATCCTCAAGGGGCAATTTGAGAGGTTTGTGATGTTGGATGGTGAGAGCCCAAGCAACATGTATGATCGGTTGAGCAAGATCGCCAATGAGATCAAGGACTTGGCTCCAAGGACATGACCGATGGGGTGGTGGTCAAGAAGATGGTTCGAGCAATCACTCCAAGGAACTCTACCTTAGTGACCATCATTCGTGAGCGTCCGGACTACAAGACTCTCACACCTCACGATTTGCTCGGACGTATTCTTGCCCATGACATGCTCATGCAAGAGTCCAACGATGTCATCCAATACATCAACCAAAGCTCAACCACAAGCATCAAGAAGGAAGACTTGGCATTAAAGGCGAAGGAAGAAGAAGAAGAGAACCGCAAGAGTAAGAGCAAGGCGGAGATCGATGATGAAGAGATGGCTCTCCTCGTCAAGAAGTTCGGCAAGTTCATGAGGCGAAGCGGTTTCTTCAAAGGAGGTTCTTCCAAGCACTACTCCAACAAGTCAAGTGGAAAACACTCCGCAAGAGTGTGCTACGTGTGCAAAGAGCCCGGTCACTTCATTGCGGATTGCTCCCACCTCAAGGATGGTTCTCACATCAAGGAAGATAAGAAGAAGGGTGAGAAGAAGGAGAAGCACAAGCATAGCAAGCAGGAACATTATGGCCAAGCTCACCTTGGGATGATCTTCGGCTCCGAGTCCGAGTCAAGCTCAAGTGATGAAGGAGTCGCCACGTTCGCCGTCAAGCCTTCATCACCACCGAGACTCTTCGACTACTCAAGTGATGAGGATGCTCCCATTTGCCTCATGGCAAAGAAGCCTAAGGTACCTTCTCCTCCCAAGTCATTTAATGTTGACCTTGTTAGTGATGAGGAGGATGAGGTTATGGATGATGAATTGTTCAAATCCATAACTAAGGAATCCCTACCACACTTGAGTGAGTTGCTTGGGAGAATTGAGGACCAATATGCTACTCTTGAGAGGCAAGAGGTTTTGCTCATTCGTGAGAAAGAGCGGTCTCATGAACTCAAGAGTGAGCTTGCTAAGGAGAGAGAGAAAAATGAGGCTTTGGTAAGGCTTTACAAGCAAACCAAAGAGTCTCATGCTAATCTTGAGGTGGCGAACGCTCAACTTCAAGAGAGAGTGGATGGCTTGGACAAAGCTTACCTCTCTTGAAGAGAAGTTCGAAACCTTAAATAATAGTCTCTCTCTAGCGAGCCATCTTGTTCTAAAATTGTCCCAAGTAATGAACCATGTGTGAGATGCAAAGATATTGATATTGAAGCTTGTGCTACTAACTCTATTTCCTTGAGTGCTTTGCAAAAGCAAAATGAGAAGCTTATGAGACTCCTTCACAATGGCCTACTTAAGTGCCATATGGGTAGTAAGGCCCTAAAGAAGTACCTAGGCTATCAAAGGGACAACTTCAATCATGAGGGTCTTGGGTATGTTCCTCCACCAAAAGGAAAGGTGGACAAGAGTGTGATGATTAAGAGGCCCTAAGGTCTTAGCAACTTTGTTAAGGCCAAAAGTATCCTTTCTAATGATTATGCTTCACATTGTTCTTTTGATGCATCTTATGTTCTTAGGAAGAATGATAGTGGTCGTGTTGTTGCTAAGTATGTAGGCCCAAGGGGCGAGAATATTTCTATCAAGAGAGTACTTTGGGTGCCTAAGGCACTTGTTACTAACATGAGAGGACCCAAGCAAGTGTGGGTACCTAAAACTAGAAATTGATCTCTTGTAGGAATATGTTTCCGGTGGAAGAAGTTGGGTGATTGATAGTGGATGCACCAATCACATGACCGGAGAAGAATCAATGTTTTCAACTCTTGATCCAAATGGCACTTCACAAGATAATATAGTCTTCAGGGATGATGGAAAGGGAAAGGTTATGGGATTGGGTAAGATTGCAATCTCTAATGATCTTTCCATTGCCAACGTTCTCTTGGTAAAATCTCTAAACTACAATCTTCCGTCCGTTTCTCAATTATGTTCTATGGGTTACAATTATCTTTTTACCGATGTTGATGTGACCGTCTATAGAAGGAATGATTCCTCGGTAGTCTTTAAGGGTGTTCTCAAGAGAAAGCTTTACCTTGTGGATTTTTCCTCAAGCCAAACATGAAACATGCTTAGTGGCTAAGTCCAACACGAGGTGGCTTTGGCATCGGAGGCTAGCCCATGTTGGTATGAGGAATCTTCACAAGCTTCTAAAGCACGATCACATCCTTGGACTAACAAATGTTCAATTTGAGAAAGATAGGGTGTGTAGTGCGTGCCAAGCCGGCAAACAAATTGGAGCACATCATCCCGTCAAGAATGTGATGACCACTTCAAGACCATTGGAGCTTCTTCACATGGACCTCTTCAGGCCAATTGCTTACCTAAGCATTGGAGGTAACAAATATGGTCTTGTTATTGTTGATGACTTTTCACGCTTCACGTGGGTGTTCTTTTTGCATGACAAGAGTGAGACACAAGCCATCTTCAAGAAGTTTGCAAGAAGAGCACAAAACGAGTTCGATCTCAAGATCAAGAACATTCGAAGCGACAACGGCAAGGAGTTCAAGAACACGTGCATCGAGAGTTTCCTTGATGAAGAAGGCATCAAGCATGAGTTCTCGGCTCCATATTCACCTCAACAAAATGGAGTAGCCGAGAGGAAGAATAGGACTCTCATTGAGATGGCGAGGACCATGTTGGATGAGTACAAGACATCAGACCGTTTTTGGGTCGAAGCCGTCAACACCGCATGCCACGCCATCAACCGCCTTTATCTTCACCGCCTTCTTAAGAAGACTCTCTATGAGCTTCTTACTGGTAACAAACCAAATGTCTCTTACTTTCGTGTTTTCGGTAGTAAGTGTTACATTCTTAATAAAAAGGCTAGATCCTCTAAGTTCGCTCCTAAAGTGGATGAGGGATTCTTGCTTGGGTATGGGTCAAATGAATGCGCATACCACGTTTTCAACAAAACCTCCGGTATTGTTGAGATCGCGTGTGATGTGACATTTGACGAAACTAATGGCTCTCAAGTAGAACAAGTTGACTCACATGTGTTAGGTGAAGAGGACCCGAGCGAAGCAATCAAAAGGTTGGCTCTTGGGGACGTACGTCCTAGGGAGCCACAACAAGGGGCCTCTTCCTCAACACAAGTGGAGCCACCTACATCAACCCAAGCCGACGATCCCTCTACCTCAAGCTTGGATCAAGGTGAAGAAGGCGAACAAGTGCCACCCTCACCGATCAATTTAGCTTGCCCAAGAATCCACCAAAGTATCCAAAGAGATCATCCCACCGACAACATTTTAGGAGACATCAACAAGGGAGTATCCACTCGTTCTCGTATTGCAAATTTTTGTGAGCATTACTCGTTTGTGTCTTCTCTTGAACCTCTAAGGGTGGAAGAAGCTCTTAATGATCCGGATTGGGTGATGGCGATGCAAGAGGAGTTGAACAACTTCACCCGGAATGAAGTGTGAACTTTGGTGGAGCGACCTCGGCAAAATGTGATTGGCACAAAGTGGATCTTCCGCAACAAGCAAGACGAGGCCGAGGTCGTAATAAGGAACAAGGCGAGGTTGGTGGCGCAAGGGTTCACCCAAATCGAAGGATTAGATTTCGGTGAAACTTTTGCGCCGGTAGCTAGACTTGAGTCGATTCGCATATTGCTTGCTTTTGCTACTAACCTCAATTTTAAGCTATATCAAATGGATGTCAAAAGCGCCTTCCTCAACGGGCCTATCAACGAGTTGGTATACGTGGAGCAACCACCGGGCTTCAAGGATCCAAAGTATCCCAACCATGTGTACAAGCTCCACAAGGCACTCTACGGGCTTAAGCAAGCCCCTAGAGCTTGGTATGAGTGTCTTCGCAATTTTCTTGTGAAAAACGGCTTTGAAATCGGGAAAGCCGATTCAACTCTTTTTACTAAAAGACATGATAATGATATTTTTGTGTGCCAAATATATGTCGATGACATTATATTTGGTTCTACTAACAAGTCTTTTAGTGAAGAGTTTAGTAGGATGATGACCAAACGTTTTGAGATGTCCATGATGGGTGAATTGAAGTTCTTCCTCGGCCTTCAAATCAAGCAACTCAAGGAAGGAACCTTCATTTG